AGTTCGTGGCAGCGACAACAGCCTCCTGAGTATAATTGCAAACAGGTTCCAGGTTTCTTTTCATGATTACTGGTCCCGGTTGCAAATTAGTTTTAGAAAAAATTGTTATTTGTATTACTAACTCTAATAAAGTGCTTTGTTACTAATCTCTATAGATGAATATACGAGGTTTATATTATTACATTATTCTTAGAATAATAACGCATAGAATGATAGTTTCATATCAAACGAACTGTCACAAGTGAGGCAAAAATCAAATTCGTGTAGGCTAGTTTTAGTAGTAGGTTAATTTTCGGTTTTAGTGAATATTTATATAAAAATACAAGTTGAAACGCGTTACTTCCTTGTGCAATGTGATGTTAGTATCTATTTTATGTTTGTCTGACGTATTTTTACACTCATTTACCGCACATTTCGTCATTTTTAGATAAAATTCTTGATCTGTTCGCGGTGCAAGTTGACGTTGAGTACTGAAGGCCCGCACGCTCGTGTAGGCCCATTGGGCGCGCTTCAATTTGCCTCACTTAGCGTGTGCGGACTAGGTTTCTATGCGTTATTATTCTAAGACATTATTATTATTTTTAAAGTTTACCTACAAATGAAAAAAGAAAGGAAGAATGGTTGGAAATTATAGAACTGCCGAACATGAACATTGGATCAAATACCATCTTCGTAACTAGATTACATGTTAATGCAATTCCATCGTTACATTTATTGGTAAATAACTTTATGTTTAATTTTGATTAAAATGGCTCATTACTTGCTTAGTAATAATAATAATAACCTAGTATTAATCATACTTTGATTACAGAAAACTATACAAATTTGCAAACATAAAAAACAGTTTCAACACTCAAGCCATACATTTGCATGTCGATATTGACTTATCTATGATTATGGTACAACGCTAAATCCGCCATTTATGGTGGACATTTTTGGTTTAGGTAGGGACGTTTGTTCCGTAGATAAGGCATCTCCTTTCCTTTATTTTTTTCTATCCTCTAAGAAAAATATAAAGTAACTTTTTTATTTCTATTTTTTTTGCGCTGATTTTTAAAATGTAAGCCAGTCTCTTAGTACGGAGTTTTAAATTAAGAAATAAAAATAAATTCCGAAAAAGTTTTTATTTAACCTTAAACTCAATAAACCGCCCTCGTATTTTACGAAATACGAGATGTACGAAATTTTTAAAAGTATTGTTGCGTTGAAAAATATCCTTGAAAACATTTTTTATAAATAAAGTATTTAATTAATAACTGTAGTAACAATAGTGAAAACTATGATGGTTTTATTTTATTAGACATGACTGATTGAAGACTTATACCATTTCAGTTATCCGGGACCATGGGATGATGGGACCTGCAAAGAGCCCAAAAGGTCGGTTTATTTGAAAAATAAAAACAAATATACGCGATTCAAATCTGCAAAAATTGTCTCATTTTCTATCTATGTGTAACGATCGCTTAAACCTAAGAACTCGATATAATTTTTAACCAACTTCAAAAAAGAAAGAAGTTCTCAATTTGACCGTTTTTTTTATATGCATGTTGCGCGATATCTCCATAATTTGTGAACCGATTTTGGTGTTTCTGTTTTGTTGGAAAGAGGGTACCCCAGTAATGGTCCTATTTAAATTTGAAGAAAATATTCCACCTCTAAGGGTGGCAAACTAGGGGATGAATCCTGTTTCGCACACTTTCCGGTAACTTTGGAACTTTGGAATCGTCCAATATAACTTGGCAAATAAAATGTAATTCCACGAATTTTTAAGGTCGGTTTTTTTAAGTAATCTGTACTGACATAATTTAAATTAAATTTAGTATTGAAACGTTCTTACTTCGTAGGAAATGACACTATTTTTCCGGGTTTAAATCGCGTATATTTGTTTTTTCAAACAAACTAACGTTTCGGGCCCTTTACAGGTCCCATGGTCACGGTTGACTGACTGAGTCAACCTCCGGAAAAATGGTTTCATTTCCTATGTGTAACAATCGCGAAAACCTAAGTCCTTACTTCAGTTTTCGTTTTGGTACTGACGATTTGGAGCTATAGAAAACCCATGCAATATCTGGCTTCGGAAATCCATCTACCACACAAGGAAGTGTGACGTCCACGCCTACTTTGACCTCACGTCGACCTACTGCAGGAGATTCAATTTGTGGTGGCCCTGTTGACAGAAACAAGTCCTTGTATTTACCTTAAAAAAAGCTTGCAATGGCAGGATGTTTTGCCACCATGCTATCCAATTATTGTTTCATGAAATTACTCCACCAGTTTGTTATCATTATTAACACAAAGATGGAAAAGTTAGAAAAAAATCCTTCAATCCTGCTGAATCAGAACCAACGTATTCTAGCAAACCGTGCGAGACGCCATGCCAACTAAACCACGGAACGATACAGCGAGCCTTATGAATTTTTCTAAGTGCTTGTACATCTTTGTTTTGATAAAGCGACATCTCTAGTCAGTTGCTGGTTGCTGTAAAGGTGTAAGGCTGAAGGAATAGATTTCTCACACGGCGAAAATGTCTTTGAAAAAACCAAAAACAAAGATATGCCTATGGGCCTCATAAGAAGACTCTAGAGTCTTCTGAGGCCTATAGTGACCTTGCTCACTCAGCGGGCAACGGAAAGGGCAATGCTCGGTATTTCCCTACGTGATAGAATCAGAAATGAGGAAATCTGTAGAACTATATAACCGACATAACTCGAAAAATTGCTCAGCTGAAGTGGCAGTAGGCGGGGCACATAGCTAGGAGAACCGATGGCCGTTGGGGCGGAAAGGTTCTTCAATGGCGACCGCGCACCGGACGACGCTTAGTGGGTAGGCCCCCACCAGGTGGACCGACGATCTGGTAAAGGTCGCGGGAAGCCAGTGGATGCGGGCAGCGCAGGGCCGATCGCCGTGAAGATCCTTGGGGGAAGCCTATGCCCAGCAGTGGGCGTCGTATGGCTGAATGCAACAAGCACACAGAAAAATTCGTAAGGATCGCTGGTTCGTTCCGTGTCTTAGTTGGCATCAGTGAGCATAAATGGCTGCCATAGCTTCTGCCACGGTTTGCTGGAAGGCGTTGGTTCAAATCCAGAGAGCATCGGTTTGAGAAGATTTGTTTGAAATTACGATTTTTTAGAATAGCAGCTCATTACAGAATATAACAAAATTTATTTGGTGATATTATGGCTACAAACAAAAAGTTATTAAAATGTAAAAACGATATTCCGTGTAATTAATAAAAAAAATTCGTATTTCTATTGCCGTGACACCTAGGACATGGGGTCAGCGGGTAAAAGCTAGCAAATGACCAAACTCCCAAAAAATTTTGTCGGACCATCTGCCAAACACCCCGTATTGGTATACCTCTTTTCCTTCCCCCGAAACTGTATTATTTCATACACGCTCATTTCTATAAAATTTAGGCATGTCCATTCAAAAGACATACTAAAAAATTTATCTAAAAATATATATTTATTTCATTGACTTACAATTATATGGACGTCGGGTCCGCGCTAAAAAGTGTCCGAACTTATAGGGCGTTAAAATCGTATACAGAGCGTCATTCACGCTCTAGTCTTCGTTTGTTCGACTGACAGCGAAGCAAGCAAAATTAGACAGTACTGCGATGACATTACAATTTAAATTCAACGTTTTAGCTTTTTCATATTCCTTGACATGTCACTACGTTTAAATAGGTTGACTTGGGACATTTTTTTCGTGGTTTTTGTATTAGACCCGTCGTCCATTTATTTGTAAGTCAATGATTTATTTATACTCACTCAAAAGCAGCACTTGAGTGGTTGCATTAGCCGTGCCATGTTTGTTGGTAGCTTGGCATCTGAAGGTGCCACTGTTGCTCAAGGTTGCTCGTAAACTATAATAAAAAGTACATTATATCGAGTATATAAATAGAAATAGAGACGAAATTGTTTTGACCAATTTGACTTGAGCTTTGCTACAATGGACGAAAATTGCAAAATTACATATTTAATATTTAATTACCGATGAAATGTGATTCCATTTGTTTTGTAATTAGATGTATTGCTGTTTTTCCCACACCACCGAATAGAATAGCCCCCATTGTTAGAGATATTATCTTTATTGCAATAAATACAGAATATTATTAGAATATACGGAGACGTACAAACAGGTCAGTTGTTGGCGCTGTACTATTTCAGTTCTCTAATTTATGATTTCAGCGCAAACGAGAGTTAATATTTAAAAGTGATATAAGGCCCATTTGCCTGAAGAGATGCCCGGGATGGATGGCCATTATCTCTGGTTATATTCTCGACGGTACATTAAAATATTTTCATAATAAACATAGGAACTTTATTGATTGCTGTAATTGTGAACATACTAATTCTTGGTATACATATAACAAATTCATAATGACACAGTTTAATAGTACAGTTGATGTCCGAAGATACCTGACCCCTAAGATCTTTGTCTCAGGGTGTCGGGAGCAGTGGCATTGCCCCTTAGATCTTTGTGATTTAAAGCTCTGAGTGGCGCTGCAACTGTTATGGACAGACGTATCGCTTACTTTGTATTATAAAAAAGGCAAAAATTAAAGTCTAAAACGAATTATATAACAATAAAAATATCTATTTTTATACATAATTTTTATATAGAGATTCTCTTTAAGTACTACAAAGAATATGCTAAATTTTGGTTTTCAACTGAAGCCGTATTAGTTATTAAATCCACTTTTATCCCAAAATTCCGTCAGTTGCCATCGGGTGATGACTTGTCGACGTCAGAGCTTTGTCAAATTTTCTCCGCCTGTTTTTATTTTATTCATATAAATTTATAACACGCGGATTGCGGACTTCCTCACGCCTGACTAAAGTCTAAGGTCATGTTGAAATACCCCGCGTTAACACTTTTCTTCGCACTTATCTACCCAGAACCAAATGGTCAGTTAGGGCAATCAAGTTTCGTCTGTACCTAATTACTAAACCAACTTTCAAACCGTAAGTAAAAAAAAAATAATTGCACTATACTTACACCAAACTGTGAATTTCATCATTGCTGCAAGGTTGAGTGTCAATTATGCTGTCATTGACGAACCACGTAACTTCAGGGCAAGGTTCACCTACCACCCTGCATTGGATTGTTATTTCATCATCTAATTTTGCTGTGATTTTTGCAGAATTTCCTTTAACGTCTGGGGGAACTGGAAGTAAATTATTTGCCTTTCAGAAGTTTAAAATCTTTTAAGAACAAATTTTTGAACCTCCGTGGTCGAGTGACTTGCACATCGGTTTTCATGGTGTCGCCATCTCTGCTAGATTGGCTACTTTCACAGTTTAACGACATACGGCATTTTGTTTTGGGGTAATGTCGCCGATATTAATAGAAGTGTGTTTAAGAGATAAATGTAAAGAGATTAACATTTTTACACTAACGTCACAGTACATATATGAAAATTTTATTTATGTTAAGAAAAATATTAATATTTTGATGAAAAATAATGACAAACATAACATTAATACGAGGAAAAAAAATAAACTAGCTGTTCTTGACTGTCGTCTTCATAAAGTCTCCAATTCATTTAAGGGGCAATGTATACGCTTCTATAATAAGATTCCGATCGATATTCGAAATTTGTCATTTACGAGGTTTAAAACTATAGTGGGACAAAATCTGTATACTAAAGGTTATTATACAGCTTCCGCGTACTTGGATAATAAAAATCCGTGGTAATAACTCGTTTAGCTCTTACACGAAATCTCGATCTAAGATGTTTGAATTAAATATTGTAATGATAAATGTATATCGAGTTCTTAGGTTTTCGCGATTGTTACACATACACGGTTGACCGTGACCATGGGACCTGTAAAGGGCCCGAAACGTCGGTTTGTTTGAAAAAACAAATATACGCGATTTAAATCCGGAAAAATAGTTTCATTTCCTATGATAAATGTATATTTACAAAGAGCATCCCCTAGAGTTTCTTGCTCATTCTTCTCAGGGGAATCTGCCTTACGAATGAGCAGTAGAGCTTAATCAATATTACGATTTCGAGAGTAATTTGCTTACCTATGAAACAAAGATTATTTGACATTGACTGTGATCCCCGGCCGGGTCAATGTAAAAAACTAAACAAACATTTCCATATCCTCTCGGGTCTGGGTGTTTATAATACCGTCGTTGTATCCTATTTCCATATCATAAGTTCTTTAGTTACTTACTTTGGTACCAGAGCAATATATGTGATGTTGTCTAATATTTATTTACATTTATATTTATTACCTTTAAGTAATAATATGGGCATTACGGGAAACGGAATAAGAGTGATGTATATTTCTAATACCAGATGTAGGATGTGTCTTTACAACCCTTTATATGCTACCCTTTAAAGAAACTTGAATAATAGAAAATTGAATACATATACTTACAATCCACAATAATATTTGTATAATGAGAATCAACACCCGCATCGTTGCGAACTTCGCAGAAGTACTTGCCCGATATTTTTTTCGAGACGTTATGAAGAATTAAATGATCTTCTCCTGATGAAATAATTTTTTTAGGACCTTCGGTTGTTTTGAAGAACCAATCAATTGTAGGTTTTGGTTTGCCTTTAAGCAATCTGAATAACAAAAGAAAAACGGTACAGTTTTACAAAAAATTTCCTTCTCTTTAAGAGTTCTTGCTTTCTTCCTCTTGCACATCGGTATTCATGGTGTCACCATCTCTGAGATCCCGGGTTCTAACATCATCAAAATCTAACTTTTCTATATTATCTCGGGTCTCACACGGCGATTTAGCAGCGATGCAAACGCGCGTTTGTATCGATGCAGCCACGCGTTTGCATCGATGCAGTTAAAAGTCGACGTGTGTAACCCTCTTACTTTGTGATCGTAGCCACGTATATGATGTTGTCTAATATTTATTTATTTAAGAGTATTGTTAGACATGTATCTCAATAAACAGTAATTAGCAACAATAGTTAGTTATATAAAACAGTATGCAATTTGCACTCTTGCTGTAATGAGGTCACATTTTCATTAGAGAGAAGTTTTACTATTCTACTAATTAAATTCGTAGATCACTTTTCTAAACTTACCTCTATCGTTGACTGTACTTTAATTGTTCCGCACACAAGAATGTCTGTACAATGTTTGCCATAGTCACAGATTATTTAATATTTACACTCATACGAAATCGAAAATACCTACGCTATAATAGCCTACTTAGGCTATGTTCACGTGACAAGCGTTCAACGAGCGTTAGATTTTTGAATAGTGTACACATCTGCTGTCCCCTAACTAATATTTTGAGATATCATAAAAACCATAACCCAGTTTTAGAATATTCAAATTGTTTAATAATATTTCAGCTATTTACATATTTATTTATTTACATATTTATTTACATATTGCTTACAGATAGATATCCAAACGCAATAGCAAGTAGAAAAATAGGTGGTATTTAAATATTTATACAAAAATAATAGAATTAAAAAACACAATGAACTAATAAATTAAACAAAATTGAATAATTACCTATATAGAATCAATTACATTGCAATAACATTATTATTATCCTATTTATTTTACTGTAAAATGGAACAAAGTATCATTACCAATGAGTCAATTTATCTCAAGTTACACAATTGCATCGTTAGCTCCGCTAAGTCGAACACGTTAACTAATTGTAACTGTTTTTAAAAGATAATTTTGTGGTCTATCTTTTGCTATTTAAAACGGATATTTGACCATTTCTTACTAGCCGTATTGGGTCCATCCTATTTTATTAAAAAAATTCAATTTCAATTGCCAAACATGTCTCACCGCGTCGAAAACGTGCGCTCATGTGAAAGGCAGTACGGCAAACCTATGATCTCAAAGCCCTCTTCCACGCGCGTTGATAAGAACATCTACAACGATTGACGTACTATATTCGGTAAGTTGTAAGCGCGCGTTAGCGAAACGTGCGTTGAACGCTCGCCAAGTGAACATGCTCTAAATCTAATTATTGAAACCAGGCGCTCACTACGAGGAAAAAGGAACCTAAGCATGCGCTCAGAAAGGTGAAACTAATGTGTGCAGTCATGCGGAACCGAATGCTGGGGTTGTACAAGGATTGTAATGTAAATGAAAGACTTGTTTGGCCGCACGCACTGTCGGCGATACACTCAGCGGTAGGCATTAATCGTGTAACCCATAAACTTTTATAAAAAAAATTGGTTAAAATATAAGCCGTACTTGGTCACTTCTATTCTATCTCCTTGGTTTTTTCTTATAATTGGATTTCGTTTGAATTTGTTGTCAGAGATTGTTAACAAAATAGGTTCATTATATACAGGTTGTTTCTTCATTTTATTTACTCATAGAAAAAGGTATTGTACCTATTACTTACGCCACTCGAGTTTGAGAACCCTCTTTATGCAACGATTGCATTACATACTAACCTGCATTCAACACGGACATCATCTCCCTGTAGTGCTCGAATTTCTTTTGTTTTTTTGTCTATAACAGGCGGTTCTAAAAATAACTAATTTGTTAACAAGTAGTTGTTAAATGCTTATTCTATTAACACAAAACAAATAACCATAATTCTGTTACTTTAAGAACGTACAAAATTTTGCAAATCCGCGAGAACCAGAACCAACTAGTCATTGATTTTTTGTGGTATTGAAATGTCATGTTATAATATTAATATGCAAGAGAACCACACTACCTGGTCTCAAACTATGAATTCCTAGTATTATGAGTACCAGAGCAGCGAGAATCACTCTAGGGCACTGAAGAGATACCGAAACCAGGACGAATTTGAAAATGTTTACATCAACTCGACCCAAATTGCGCTGGTGATCCTTTATTTGCGTTTTCATTGGAGTGCCGTTTTAAAGAGTATTCGTATTCATAGTTAGAGGCATGATTTAAAAATCTTGCAGACTTAGGTGGCTTGAAAATTAATGTGGAGATATACTCTAAAGATCAGACATGAAAGATTATTTCTCCTCTCCGGATCTTTCATCATAAAAACAAAACGTCTAAGAGAGGTTACGCACGGGGACTTTTAGCAGCGATGGAAACGCGATGCAGTCGTTAATCGTCTACCTTTACATACGCGCGCGATTTTAAGAAGCGATGCAAGCGCGCGACTGCATCGATACAAACGCGCGATTGCATCGCTACATTTGGGATTTAAAGGCGTTTGTAATGATGCAGTCGCGTGTTTCACGAACGCACGTTTGCATCGCTGCTAAAAGTCGTCGTGTGTAACCACTCTTAAGTAACGGTACACAGATTTTTCGTGAGCCATTTCACATACATAAAATATTCATTACGTCAGTAGAATAAGTTTGATTCTTTTTAACTTACTCAACTTTGACAATCTTAAATACATTAAAATTATGCAATGAACATACCTAATCCAGATATACCAATATGAAACTTAAAATCACGTTTCTTATGTACATTGCTCACAGTACATGTATAATGTCCGGAATTTTCAGGCTTCATTCTGTTGATAATTAGCTCTGAGCTATCAGCTGATGTCTTAATGTTTTCATCAATTGTAAGAGGTTGGTCATCTTTTAACCATTGGATGTCTGCTGTAGGTCTAGCATCCACCTTGCACGCGAATTTTGCTGATGTGTCCACTTCAATTTCTGCACCTACAGGGTTGAAATATAACAATTCTTGTAAAAACTTCTTTGTTGTCATGAAACAAATTTTAATTACTCAAATTAATAAAACTAGGAAATACCGTGAAGATACCTAAGAAACGAAATTGTAAAAAAATCTACACCAGAACCGAAAATTTTCGCGTAGCGTGTCAAACCACAAAGCCAAATTGCCAAACATATTATTATGAATATTACGAAAATGTAGTTTATTATTACTTTCTGGTGTCTCCAAAACATCTAAATAGAAAGCCCTTGTAGTTTCAACGACGACATCCATTTCATCTTGACCGTAATGATTTTTTGCTTTGCATGTGTATGTTTCATTCTTTTTCACACTGTCAATAGTTAGAACGCTTACGTAATCCTTTGAAATTTCTATTACCTGCAAAACAAAAAGAAAAGTTAACTTTCACAAACTGGTCTGGATTCTTATTTGGTTTTTCACTACAAAAAGCACAACTTTAAGCACTAACTATATTCTCCACATGTCCTCTTCCTTGAGAAATCCCTTATTTAAGGTTTACTTACAGTCAAATCAGCTGAGAGCGACTTTCCATCGCTATCCTCCCATACAACTGTAGGTTTAGGGTATGCTGTTATTCTGCATCTCAATTTCAAAGGGTGACCATATTCGACCGTTACTTTTGTATCTCCAACAATCCAAACTTTCGGTGGTGTGTTTGCATGTGTCACTGCCATATAAATAAAAAAATCAGATAACATTATTCAAGCAGTTAGACAGATGGTACATCTGATACAAAGTGGCCAATAACTATCATCATACGAAGGAATCTCCTTAACTTTACAAATAATACGTTGTTGTCACCAGACTGGGCCTTCCAATCTAAAAAGCTGCAAGTCGTAGGTACTGATTTCCAGGGAAAAAACTCCTAGGTACAGCATTGATAAACTACCAGACGGGAAGTCCTATTCGTTCTATTGTATTTCTTTGTTTTAAGTATGCACGTCATGTTGTTGAAAATGAAAAGGTGGATTCACTCGCTAAGTAGGCTTATGGTAGTGGTGATAAATATGATATTAATTTGTTTTGATTGGTTATGTCATTGATTTTTTTATATAGTGGCAGGAGTTTTTTGATGAGAGGTCCAATAGTTGTCGTACAAAACAATTCAACCTGAGTCACTAGAGATTTCTTGGACTGGTACCTATTCTCTTAATAGGCTTAATTAAAACAGCTCTGAGGTTGCGCATTTTCAAGTAATTAATAATTAATATTTTATTCAAATTTAAATAGACCAAAACGGTGGTACCCTCTTTCTAACAAAAAAAAGCGCCTTCATTTTTTAAATTAGGTTAAAAATGTACAAACATAGCATTTACCTATTATCTGTGGTTCAATAGGCGTCAGGCTAATTCTCATTATCGGTGTTTTAGTCTTGAAGTCATAACCTTTGATCTGGAAAAAAATTATAACTCAGACACAACAAAAGCAACAGCAGCAGCAGTTGCAGCCATATTATATAAAGCGTCGTATTATATTACTGCTAGCTCGTGTTCCGAAGAATTGCAATTCGCCTAGATTGACTACATGTTTGCAGCAATCAACTTCATGCAGCCGAGACCTCGACTGCATGAAGTGGACAACGACTTCACGCATTAACTGCTTGCAGTCGATCTCGACTGCATACAGTTAATGCGTGACCTTCGGCTGCATGTTCTGTGTACCGTTTAAGTCCTCGAGTTTCTCACAGAGAAAAGTTTAAGGAGGTTGGTATCATGACTGTGGCATCACAGTACATTTACTCAAATATTTTGTATGCCCGTAACAATTTACATAATTTAATTAAGGAAGAAAATATCCATAATATTAACCTTAGAACTACGTCCAAACGTGGTACCATGGAACCACGATTTCGTTTAACTAAGGTAAACGATTCTCTTAAGGGGGACTGTAGATATACGTTTTCACAATAAGATTCCGGAGAACATAATAACATTGTCATTTCTTAAGTTTAAAACTTACATTAAAAGTATTTTAATTGAAAAGTCATATTACGAAATTTAAGAGTATGTTTTAGTGTAGAAGTATGGAAAGACAACAAGAGTCTAAATTCCACACAAATATGATTCAAAATGTATTCTCATTTAAATTTATTTAAAAAGAGCAATCCCTACAGTTTCTTGCTCGTTACGGTCAGCGTAGTGAACGAGCAGTAACTTAAAAATTGACGTTTTGAAGTGTACAAACTTTACCTATGGAATAAATTTGATTATATGACTTTGACTTTGAAGTTGATAACTGCATACTTGCAATCAATCTGTTTTTTTTTATTGTATGTTCGCCAGCATTTCCCCCGACATTGGGATCGGAGGCTTTATAGCGTACATTATGACCATTTTTTTGTCTTTTCCGTTTTTTATTTTTTTACTTTTCTTTTTTTTTAAAGTAAAAAAAGTCTGTTTCTTTATCAATATACGTATTGTATAGTGATAACCGTTGGGTTGGTAATTACATTACACATTGACTCTAGTTTTACACACATTTCTACTCTATTTATGTTATAGTTGTTCTATAGTTGTTATTCTACTGATATAGATAGATAACTACTCATAATCCACAATCCTTTTCGTCTGCTTAGCAAGAAGAGAGACAGTTTTGGACTTGAAATTTTTGGTTTTTTTTTTTAAATAGAAACCCACCGTGAGACTCAAACATATTAACTAAAATAACGGATAACTATGAATTGACGCGATGCAAATTCGCACGCAGAAATTGCGACGCAAATTGCTGCGATGCTATTTCGTGTGGCAAAGCATCTCACTGCCATGATTCGGGTAACCATTCCTTCGACGATCCTCAGACGTACTGAACGTATAATTTAATCTAGGTAGCGACATGAATCGTAAAAAGAGTATGGCACTGCTGTTATTGATAACAAAGTATAGGAAAAAAACACAAAGAAGATTAACATCGCAGGAAAGCGCGAAAGGCATTTCGCAAATTCTTGTGATGCGTTGTGCGACCTCGTAGATTTCTGCGATGCGACGCCGCGTCGCAGTTTTGTGTTTCGACCCTAAGTCGAATTTTTGCTCGCCATGTTTCGAACCAATTCGTGATCTTTAATCATGAGATTCTGCGGTGGTGAATCGACGGAAACTGCGCGCCAAACCACGAATTGGTGCGAAATATGTCGTGCAAAAATTCGACTTAAATACGTGAGTTATCCGTATTTTTGATTTTGTTACAAATATTTACAACCCAAAACCATTATGACTTATGACACACGCTCCATCGACCCGTGACCCATGGAGCGTGTAATAAGTTCGGAAATACCGGAAAAATAAAAATTAAATACCGTGATAAACAACCTAACAATGATAGTAACACGTCGACCTACGTATTTTAAGAAATCTATATTTAGATCCCCTCATATTCTGTTCTACAGATTACATAGATAGATTTCCACGTATTTTTGTAATTAATTTGAACTTGACGAACCCACATTATTAATCACAGCAGATACCATATGTAGGTACAAACGTAACGGTTGTAGTACAGTTTTAATATATGCAACTTACGGCAATTCTGAATGCATCTCTTGGTAACTTCATTTTGTCCGTAACGTAGAATTGATTTTTCTTGTCAGCTGTTTTTGCAAATGGCACTTCCGTAACAATTTTGTCATCCATATTTCTAATTTGTAACATTTCAAGTGTCACATTTTCGCCTTCATCAGTTATAAGTTTAATGGCTATAAAAGATTTCTTGCCTAGAAATACAAAGAAGTTATCAGTTTAGATGTATGAAAAAAAATAATTATTTTTCGACGACCAGTCTTCTCCACTATAACACAAATATTTACAAAAATCGGACTTCGAAAATACAATAGATTCGTGATCTTAGTCAATATTAAAAGAACAAATTGGCTCATTAAAGAGCTGTTATACACGGCGACTTTCAACAGTGCGTCTACAGCGATTCAGTCGCGATGCAGTCTACTAATATGGGATTTACACGAGGCGACTTTAGTCGTGCGGTTGGTGACTAGTCTCATCGTCTGTCAAAGCTGAATCTTCATTTACACAGAATAAAAATCGCTGATGATTTGATCATTTTGCGTGAAAATGTCGACCAGAACAAGCACATTTCGTACTGCAATTGATATGGTTCCTCGAGCCATTATTCAAGAATAATGACTTGTAACATTCGGCACCATGCGATTGTTACAAGTTATTTACGATGACGGTGGATTTTTGTCACCAGCCGAATCAGCTGGAAAAGTCGGATGCTAGTCTACTCAGGGTCTTGCAACTTTAGTCACCAGCAGCTTAGTCAAATTGTCATTTAGACGGTCGATTTTCGCCGTGTGGCGATAATCCAGTGGCTATAGTCACCCACGTAAACTCCGCTTATGCGTCTGTTTTTGCACACACGTGCAACTTAAGCAGCGATACAATCACTATTCACGTTTTTAATGATTTAGCATAAACGACTGTATCGGTGCGTTTGTATCGCTGCTAAAAGACGTCGTGTGTAACCGCTCTTAGATGTCAATCTTCAATTTTGCACACTAATCATCCCCTCTAACACATGTGGATGTAACTTCTTATAATATTGACAAAAGAAATACTTACATAGTCGAGATACATGAAAGTCGTGATATTGTGACTAAACAACGAATTTTCATACCTCATCAAATCTATATCAGAGTTATAAGATATCAAAATAGACTTATGACATTCTAGGTAGGTATAACCAAACGCAGATATGTTAATATTACCTGGCTTAGGTTTAGTAGAAGTACTAGCAATTGTCGTAGGAATGATTGGAGAAAATCCATACTGAAAATGAAGTGTGGTACTTGCAGTGATAACAACCGACGTCTCTGATTCGCTGTTCACTTCTGCTTTGTAAACTCCTGGCTTTATTTCAGTTACTTTCACCACCTTAAAGTTTATAAACATTTATTTTCAAGGAACAAAATTCACACTAAACTATTGAGATTTCTGTTACAAATTCAACTAAGTGGATTTTAGTAGATCAACATTCTAGCCCCAGTATAGCTAAGAGCTTCACTCGTGTTACAAGACCTTTGACTTTGTTATAAGTAGATCTAAAATTAAACATACTTCTTACACTCTATTATCTCCTCAACCGACCATAATATGGAGATACTATCTCTGTAAATTCGATACTGTAATATTAATCCTTAGTAATATACACGTTATCATGGTTTTAAACCTCAATAATTCAAATTAAACGCACTGAAGACGCGTAGAAACGCTACTATTAATTTTCATACAATATTTAGAAACGTTGCTGCAGCGCCATAGTCGCACCATGCGCGCGCCACTTTTGCAGACTAGATCATCATCATCATATCACCCGGAAAACGTCCACTGCTGCACATAGGCCCCCCTCAAAGATTTCCAGATCAGCCGATCGGACGCGACGTACATCCATCGGTTATCCGCCGCCCTTACCAGGTCATCAGTCCATCTAGTAGGAGGCCGTCCCACTGAACGCCTTCCGGTTCGTGGTCTCCATTCAAGAACCTTTCTGCCACAACGGCCGTCAGTTCTACGAGCTATGTGCCTTGCCTACTGCCACTTCAACTTGCTTATCCTTCGAGCTATGTCGGTGACTTTCGTTCTTCTACGGATCTCCTCATTTTTGAGTCGATCACGTAGAGAAATGCCGAGCATTGCTCGCTCCATAGCTCGTTGAGTGACTTTGAGCTTTTTTATGAGGCCCATAGTAAGTGACCACGTCTCAGAGCCGTAGGTCATCGCTGGCAACACGCACTGCTCGAAGACTTTTGTCTTCATGGACCGTATTGCGGACGATTCGACGATTGACCTCTTTCTCGAAGTTGGCCCTGCCTAATTGGACGGTTTGTCCGAGGTAGACATAGTCGTCAACAACTTCGAAAGTAGAGGTTCACGCTGTTACAGAGGTGGGTACGACATGGACATTCGAGTTTATTTTTAGACCCACGTGCTGGGAAACTCTATTGAGGTCACCGAGCATAGTACCAAGCTCTTCCAATGAATCCGCCATGACCACGATATAGTGAGAAAATCGACGGTGAGTGATGTATTCGCCATTGATGTTGATGCCGATTCCTTTCCAATTCAGTAACTTGAAGGCATCTTTAAGACTGATTCTGGCAGACTAGATATTGTATGAAAATTGTAGTGGTATGACTGCAGTGCCACAAACGCGCCTCTACAGTCAGATTAGAAGGTGCCCTGAGGTATGCTTTCTACAAGTTTTAATGGCGCATTTACACCGGGTCGTCTGCCGACCTTCGATAGATGAAGGCGACGCAGTCCACTCGCTGTTTACACCAAGTCGTCTGTTGCCCTTGGCAGACCACTTCATCTTGCCGAAGGCGACGCACCCAATCGCTTCGGTCGATTTTGGCTGCAAACTACCGTCGTCGGACATTGATACCGGTTAGCTTGCCGCCTTCGATGGGCAAGCGAAGGGCGCCTGACGACTTGTTGTAAATGCGCCATTAGAACTAAGACGGCTTGATGATTTCATAGTCAAGCTATTTTAGGAACGTATTACTTACAGTAAAAGTCGGTGTCCGAGCGATGCCCTGCTTGTCAACAATCTGACCATCCGGTCCAGCTATAGTCACGTTTGTATTTCTTCCAGCTACAGAGATGATTAGCTCTTTCATTTTGCTGTCAACCGTGTACTGCAAAATGAAAAACATTTTAGGCATGTATTAATAAACAGCTCTTAAGGCCTGATCTGCTGATTTCCCCCAGATCATGAGATGCATCTCAAACTCGTTTGTGTTAATAGATTATAATCATCGGCATTTATGATACCGTCTCAAATTACCAAGATTGGTCAGGACTTAAACGTAAACGTACGTGTGAAGTGGCTCATTTCATAAGCAGTAATTTTGACATCTATTAAATAATGCATTGTAAATAATAATAACGCACACATTCATAGTCCCGCAATAGGCACCCAGTATCGCGGTTGCCGTGGACACACACATAAACAACCACAAATTACACCCAAACTCACGAGAGAAATAAATTACAAATATTTTTTCAGGCCCTCCTGGCCCATCATGGTAACCGTTCGGCCACGGAGGCAGTTATCTTCCGATTTTTCTCAAAAATTGCTCAGAAAGGTCGCCATTAATTCAAAAGAGGCTGACCCAGGATGGCAATATCTAATTTTTGACGGTTTTTTCAAAAAAATACAGAGACGCGGGATTTTCACCCATTATTGGCGACGTGTTTAAATGTAAACGAAGCAATCGTGTGATTTAGCTACAAGTCACCCGAGAGATTATTTGGCTGTAAACTGAAGAATTAAAAATTTTGGTGTTTAAAGTTCAAAATTCTTTGTGATGGAGTACCATTGAAGGTGATTAGTGGCATATCTTCAGGTAAATTTTCAGGACGTTTACCGGCTGCCTTAAATATTCACTCTATTTTAACTGTATAATATAGTCCGTGACTAGACGCATAAGACTCGCATATCTTAGGAGCTCTCTTAGTGCTCTCCCCATTGTGTTCAGCAAGAACATGTCATCCCCTAGCTGATGGTGTTCACTCAAACGCCTTCCATGTGGCCTTCGACATTTATGCTGCTGAGCTCACAAACAGTTGTCTTCACAAAACCCCCAAACTTATACTTAACAATAAAACTTTGTTACGAAAACTAAACACCTCTGGCTGTCATTTATTTTTTCTGATGTTGTCTCTTCTACAATTGAACCATATATACACACACAAGCTTCGAGCCTCACGTACTCAACCACCCTTTTCATACAACTTATTTTATTCTTGTTGTTTCGGATCCCAGCCTATATGTATACGTATATCAAAAAAATAAAGGAACAATATTAACCAAAACTCACCGTAAAAGTATGAGGACCCGGAGGAAATATTTTATTGGCTACAACAGTTTTTCGGCTTTGTACTAATTCTTCAACATATTTTAAAAGCTGCAAAAAATTTTTAAAAATTAACTGACTTTGTTACTGACGTTAAGAGACGTTGTTTTAACAACTAATTAAGAAAATGTACCATGATAATAATAATGTCCCAGATCACCACGCCAATTATTTTGATCATAGGGTGCTTTCAAATTAGACGCTTACAGAAGCGCGACTGTGGCGCTGCGAGTATGTAGTGAAAGATATAATCTATTTGCACTTGGTATAACAAAATTTGATATAATTTATAAGGATATAATCACTCATAGAATATAATCAATAAGAGGTATAACACCAAAAGGCATAATTTTAATGCGTAACTTCCAACATTCAGTTTAATAACGTTAGATATAATGATTAGGTAACGTAAAGAACTAACGGTATAAGTATTACCACTATAATGTTTTAAATAATATAACACTTTATTACAAATTTTACATCAACTGATGTCCATCAAAGATAACGTTTTCATATCTATAATAGGATTTCTCATCGGAATATCTACTGATTTCGCATTGTTTATTTAGTATTGACGCTTCGCCGACCGCTGCCGTGTCACGCTCGCTTTGCTCGCTCGGCTCGCGCATCGTTATGGACGCAGTTTTAACCTAACGTAACCTAGGGGAAGTATCCGTTCTATAAGATTATTTTATGTGTTTTCGAGTCTAATACTCCTGGCTGCGTTCGTCATTGCGCCTAAAAAGTGCTGGGATTATATTTATAATACATTATACTCAGTGAATGTTATATCTGAAACGTTGCCATGCCGTCGGTATATTAGATTGAAAGTTGTTATATTAATCTATTATACCTAATGACCTCTATATCATGCAAGAATATGTCAAATGTCTTTATACCATAAATTAATTATATCCGTTGAGAGTTACATCGACCAAAAATATGTTATTTATTGTTATATCAACACGAATCGCACCCGCCGCGCTGCAGTTGCGCTTCAAAATATTGTATGAAAATTAGTAGTGGCGACACTGCAGGCCTTCTATAAGTCCCTTGTACTATGAGTACCAGTGGAACGGAATTCAACCGGAACACATAGTCCAGTTTAAAAAAGTTTATTTCCCACATTAGTCGACCGGGAATCGAAGGCGGGACCTCCACCGGCGCCCACAATGCAAATCGTTGGACCATCGAAGTCGTCTTTAATAATTATTTCAATAATAGGGTAATTCGTAAGATCTGCTAACTTGGTTGAGAGTGCGATAGCCCTGATTTGGCGAAAAAATCGCTGGTTTGAATCCAACCAGATTGTAGGAATTCTTCTTTGTGTTTGTTTATCTTTGTATTAGTAACAACAAAGCAGTGGAGCATTTTCACAAAAAGAAATATAATGTACTTGAATATCATGGTACGGATGATATTCAGTAAAAATAATTATTGCTATTAGACAGACAGTCCAAAAACAGTGGTCAAACAGTTGATACTGTCAGTCTCTTAAAACTTTTGTCTACTGCATACAATAATAATAATAACATTTGCAAGGACGGCTACACGTGACCCCTTAAGCTGAGGACGGTGAAATGACGAACATTGGCAGAGACCTATGTTCAACCATGAACTGCGATAGGCGACGTGTGGTCATTCATGCTTACATTACGAACAGGAGTTACGTCTAACAGTAAAAATAAAATAAAAAATAATATCCGCTTGATTTGACACGCAAAAGACGCAAATTGTAAACATTGAACAAAGAACAAGAAAAATTAAATAAAGAAGATAAAATAAAAATATCAAAAGGGTCCATGACTCAGCATTTGGGGACTATACAAATTACATTGCCCGTCACCAATTGGAACGTCACAATCTAAATTATAAGGACATATCTGTCCTACCAAACATACAGTATTAGCAGTATTAGATTAGGTGGAGTTAAGAAATTACCTCCCTGATGTCTGCAGATAGGTCTAAGTTAAACACTTGCCCAGATGTAATCGCAGCTAGATCTTGAAACACCTTATAGGCTTCATCGGTTTCCTCGGCACACCCCCTCGTTAAAACAAACGAAATCTGAAAACTCTTTTTATTAAACAATTGTTCTATTCGAAAGAATTTGGACTGCAAACTACGCTGCGAACTACGGTCGTCAGACGACTCAGTAGTTACACTGGATAGATTGCCGTCTTCGGCGGGCAACCAAAGGTCGCATGTCGACTTGGTGTAAACGTGCCATTATAATGTATAAATAATAAATCAGAATCCTTTCTTTCCGGATCAATAATTAATCCATAGGGTGTTAGTAACAGAAATACTTAAAATTATGTTAGTAAAATAATTGAAAATGAAGAAATATAAATACATATTTTCTACTCCTGTACTTTAATCTGTCAATTACAATTTCATAAACTTTTATCATTATATATCATTATATATAACGTATGGTACTCGCCACTGAGCCAAAAAAAATCATTAAAGTTCTATTCAAATACTTTGCACAAATAGTTATGTGCAAAGTACTAAGTATTGAGTACAATAGTACAGTACACACAATTATAATGAGTTCCAAAAAAAGAACGTCGTATTTTTGCTAATTAAAATATCTATTAAGGCGCTACTCAAACGCTATACTGCCATCTGGGGGCCTACTACAACCTCTTAAAACAATATTACTTTAACCTTACATTGACTTTTCGTTCCATGACGCGCTTAAAGTAAGCTTATTATAATGTTAAAACTATGATGTTTTATTGGTAGTTTTGTGACTATTCATTCACTCAGTTCGTAATATGATAGCGACATCCATATGCTCCTTGGCGACACTAAGTGTAGGCCAGACGGGCGTAATTTTGTTATTTGTGAGTTGCGATTTTTGAGTTGCGCAGTTTGCCGAACAATGTAGCATTCGGTTTCGTATAAAAGTACGGTTTGTTTCACACGACGACGCAAAATGAGTTATCCTACGACTCAAGGGCGTAATAACGACTGACTTTCGGTCGCATTGTGTGTCGTGCTGGCGCGGGTGGAGGTAGGGGTGAGGGAAGGGGTCACTTTGCTGTTGGATGCACGTGAATATAGACGTTTCTTGCGAAAATGTTTGATACGGAAAAAAATATCATCAAGGTTGAACATAATTCTAAAAAAAAAACATTTATTGGCATTTGCACATAAACTTGTAGGTATATAACATATGAAGCTGCCCACACTTTAATCGTTTCATATTGAGTGGATGTGCCCAGCTTCTTTTCCTTTTTCGAACATCGTCTCCTAAGGCTTTATAAATGCATACTATTTTTAATGGATCCATTACACTATTACGATACATACACCCCGTATAAACGCTTAAAAGCAACTGAATAAAATACGTTTGTCTGGCGCTCCAACCGAATTTCGGTCGAGCGCAAAAAAAAACGCAGCTCTCAAAATTACGCTCGTCTGGCCTCACACAAACAGTTGACACTAGACTGTAATTCCGAATTCACAACGTGACAATCAAGACTCAGCTTGTTTTATTTAATTTTCTTCATGAAAATGCGGAAAAGTAGTTGAAAACAACGTAATTTTAATAGATTTTACTATTACATTTTTTTACACTTAAAATTTTCTGAATGTAAATAACATTAAGTACTTAAACATTATACATCGAGTATATACTATATACTCGATGACATTATACTACGTTAAGACGATTCGGAACTATAGCGTTATTTCTTTCCTATTTTTAGTAAGGAATAGACAATATTGGGAAATCATTCGTTCTTTCAATCACTTTAGCAATAATACATTACTCGGTTGACAGGTTTGTCAAGGTATCAAAATGAGTAATATTAATAATAAGCTTACTTCAAACTTACATTGAAATAAGATTGTTTGTGGAAGGAATGGTAGGCCCCTGATTGGTTAAATTGGTCCAAAAGTCTTGCAACCGGGCCATATATTTTTATTTCATAAATGATTGGTTTGAATACATGCGGTACTCGGTCAGTTCTATTTTATCTCTTTGGTGCATTGTTTCCTAGGGTTTGTTTGGCATTCGTTTAAATATATGAAGAGGCTGTACGGTGAAACCTCTGCCAGCAAGTTATGACACTGCCATTTGTGATGTAATGAAAACGCCCGCGGGCGCAATTTAAAACATTACGGTCGAGTTTGCCTGCAGGTTATGACACTGTTTACGAGCAAGTGTGATGAAAACTACATTTCGTGCACATCTGAGGACAGATCTAACGTACTTGATATGTACGCGTGCACATGACATCTTTCCTCTCGGCCACCATCTATCTGACGGAGGCCGCTGGCGCCGCCTGGCGCCCTGCGCACTAGAGATGCTACTTACTAAGCTTACATAGAGCTATTAAGTTTTTGCAATAAAAAATAAATAAACATTTCGGGTTCTTCACAGGTCCCACAGTCACGGCTGACGGCTGACCATGAGACCTATAGAGGTCGAGCCATTAGCTACGTACTAAGTAGCAGTAGACCTCTTTGTGAGAGTTCGTCCAGGGTAGTGCCACCAAACCTATTTCCGCCAAGCAGTAGGTAATATCAGCATTACCGTTTTCCAGTTTTGAAGGGTACAGGTACTGGTGAAATTACAGGCACATGGGACTTGTCAACTTATGTCTCAGGGTGACGGGCGCAGTGGCAGTACCACTCAGATCTTTCCGATTGCTCTGAGTGGCGCTGCAACTGTTATGGTCAGGCTTGTAGCTTACCACCAGGCTTACCACTTGTTCGTTCCGTCACTAGATATTATAAAAAAAGAAAGAATAAAACCTAAGCTTATTCTTTGGCGGAAATAGCTTCCAGTCTTCTAGTCTCTATATACTTCGACGAGGAAACCGGAAAGTTTCTTCAGTGGTTCCTGATATTTTATATTTATAATATATAGACAATATTTTGGTCCAAGATCGTACCTGAATAAGCTTTTTCAATGCTAAATCTTTAACTGGTTCAAGTTTATTGAAATCTTTAGCAATTGTATCAGTAAATACGAATAGTAAAGATCTAGGCCGGCTTTCAATTAAAGCCTTTTCAATTCCAGTCAAAGTCACTTCGGGACAATCGCCTCCTCCGCCTACATTTATGGAATCCAAAGCCTCTATGAAAGTGT